TGCTCTACGAGCACATGGGCGCGCACATTGCGACAATGCTGCGGCAAATGCGCTCCATTGACATCGATGGCCAGGAGCTGCAGTCGGATGACGAATCCGAATCCGAATCCGAGTACAAGTCGAGTCCCCATGTGCCCCTCAGCCACTATAAGCGCATGTGTCTGCTCTGCGATCGGGCCGATGAACTGGAGGCCTGCGGTGTCATCTATAACGAGCTGTATAACGTGACGCTCTCGTTCCGGCGCATTTTCCAATGGCAGATCTTATTCTATATTTATTACAATTTTATTGTCTTGCTGCTAATGCTGTACGAGTACATTTTGAACTATCTGGAGGCTGCGCAGGGCGAACTGGTGCCCATCTTGATGGTCTGCATTAAGATGGCCAACATTGTGCTCTTGATCATGTGCGCGGATTTCACGATCAAGAAATCACAGATGCCACAGATCTTGCCGCTGGATATTGTCTGCACCGACATTGATCAGCGATGGGACAAGAGCGTAAGTCTAATAAATGCTGCAGTCGGAAGTGTCCGACTAGGGAATACCCTGAGCCCAAGGCCAGTCTGTCATTACAATCAATCCAGTTTAATTCTATACATAAACAAACTCTCAATGTTTTTTTGAGTAGAATCGGAGCTTATTGTCCGATCGTTTGCAGTGCACATCCAATTGAGTGTAGATATCAAAGGCTTGTACCGCCCGAGAAGCGTTTCTTTTCTCACAATTTTGATGGAAAGCGGGAGATATGCAAAAGCTAAAATGTTCTGGATCTGGGAATGCTATACAAAAGTTTCCATACTGCATTTCTCTCCGATATCAAGACATTCATGCACATATATACTTTATACCTTTTACATACATTTACACAAAGCCATTATACCCTCTCAACCATATAAAAGGGCTTCAGGGTATAAGCATGAGACACATTATTTAAACTCTTTTGCAACAGGTGGAATCCTTTCTGAATCAGCTACAAACGCAGCAACTGGAAATCAAGGTGCTGGGCATCCTTCAGCTGAACAATGGATTTATACCAACAATATTATCGGCCATTATCGCGTATCTATTTATATTGATACAATTTGCTTTTACTGGCGGCTTCGAAGTAGCCGACGAGTTGCCAGAAAGCATAAAACAATTTCATAAAAATGTATCTTAATAAAAATAGCTTTATTATCTATAGATATGTACATTGAACACTCGGCATGGTAATCAAATTAGGTCTGCTTATTACTAAAGATAATCAGTTCCGTTAAGTATTTTTCGAAATGGGAAATACCCTATAAACACTATACGATTACACCAATACACAAACGTGTTTATGTAGGTAAAAAAAAATATACACAAGCATTCGCTGAAATCTGAGCACTTTATATAAAACGCCTGAGCTAGTTCCCTTTCTATTCCAAACTTGTGAGCATAACTTGAATTCATGAAAATCGCATAGAAAGGCGGCATGAAAGACTGTGAATGAGTAAGTAAAAAAGTGAGAGACAAGACAGAAAGTAAATAAAAGAGAGAGAGAGAGAGGAGTGAAAAGGTAACAGAAGCAAGCAGAGACCGAGAGGAAAAGAGAGAAAGGCAGTTGGAAAAATAATCAAAGAGAGAGAAAGAAAGAGACCATATAAAATAAAGACAGAGAGAATGCGTGAAAGAGAGACAGTTAAAGAAAAGAAAAACGAAAATCAGAGTGTAATATCATATTACCTACAACAGATACTTCAGATTAATATCAATAAATCTATCTGATCTGTGCGTGCCATAGATATACATAAGAATATATAAATCCCCTAGGCAATGCTTAAGCACATGAATATCGTATAGAAGAGCGCTCAGCATAGCATTAACTCAAGGCTAGGATTTTAAAATAATATAAATGCATATAATATATAATATTAATGTATATGTAAAAAGTAAGAGCTATCTTTATATAAATATTGAGAAAACAACCCCAATCGGTTTCCATTAATGTATTATCAATTTGTGTAGCTCAATAGGCTCGTAAATTGTGATCTTATGATGGGGTGCAGCACATTTGGAATGACGTCATTTCCAAAGGAAACTGAACAAAAACTGGAATATACAAAAGATAAAATGCGCTTATAATTTGAAACTCCAACAGGCCGAGACCCAGTTTATTCCACAGAAAGTCCCAAGCTGTGACTTTATGCGCTTTGAGTTAGACGATGGAAACGCTTTCTCGGCCCACGCAACCATTTGTAAATCCAAATTTCTTGGCCCTCTATCGCTGAACTTTTCTAAAATTCATGCTGCCCATATTATCGTTCATTATATTGTGCCCCATTATACGTGCCCCAGCTGATACAATTCGGAGATGGGTGGTGCTGAGAAGTCGCTGCTCGTTAGGCAGCCAAATAATAACAACAACAACAACGGTATCCGGAGCTCGTAGCCTAACACGGCGTAATTATCATAGCTATGTCTGGCACGGACAGTTCCTGCTCCGCCCACTCCGCCCCTCCCATTATCAACATCGTCATCTACGAAAGCGTCTTTGTCTTTGATTATTTTTGGGCGCCAGCCGAGCGTAACGCGCTTGTCACGCCCATTATACAGATATACCCCGTCCGAGTACATATATACATATATATATATATTGTCGAGGTTAGTCGGGAGTGTCGTCAGCTGAACCTGAACCCGGCACCGTTGCTGACCCGTGTGCGTTCAGTGTGTGATCCGCTTGGCGAAATACTCATGCACTGAACAAAGCAAACAAAACTGCGGACAAAAAAAAACAACAAGCAAAATAACATATGCATGGCAAGTCGAAGACCTAATACCCTCTAATACCCTAATAATCCAAACGATCCAAATCTATAAGACTGTAGGTACATGCGAACATTTAACCAAAAGAAATCTTTAAGCTAGCGCCAGTCTATAGATGTATATAGCTATATATAGATATACAGATAGAGATATATATATATATATATATATATTTCTACTGGTCCTGACGGACTGATGTGTTGTGGAGCTGCAAACATAGGCAGAGCTATGAGAAATTCCACGCGCTTGTGTGGAAAAATCGTGGAAAACGGTTGTAAAAAACGTCTATGCTTATCATTCGAACTGCTACTTGATCATTTTCAAAGATCATTTCGCAAAATCCATCCATTTTGGTTGATAAATGCATGTCAAAGGTTGAATGAAGGATTAATTTCTTAATTCATTTTCCATTATCTATGTAAAATATGTAGTTCAAAAAGTTGCGGATGGATTTAAATAGTTCACTGGCGGAAAATGGGTGGAAAATGAATGTCTAAAATTTGAACCAAACTCTTATTTTTGTATATATATTATTACAAAATACTTTATGGACACCAACATGTATCAGCACCCTTGCCTTTACTCCGAGAAGCCGCTTTCAATGCGTCACAAAATTGATTGCGAAATTAAAATACCCCATGTGTGTTTAGCAAATAGGGAAATAACGAAAACTTGCCTACATTGCAACTGAATTAATTTGCTTTTTTGTGTTTTTTTTTGCTTTTTTTTTTGTTTGTGGTCGGCTGCACACGCCGCTGGGCTATGCTGGCAACAGAGCTCCCAATTCTTCCTGACAGGGCGCATTCAAATTTGTTTTGCCCATTTGGAGCTGCTGCTGCTGCTGCTGCTGCTGCTGCTGGCCAAAAGGCCAGTCGGGCCGGCCAAGCCATGCATATTTCCGGCCAGTCCAGTCTCTGTCCAGGCCGCCCCCCATTAGCCAGCTTCGATTTGCTGCTGCCGGCACAACGGGCCATTCCAAGTATTTGCCATGTACTTAATTAGCCCAGCTCCCCGCCGGCTGGTGTCTCTGCAAATTCTCGGCACACCCTGTACGCCTCGGGCCGTATGTGGGGCCAGCGGCAAAGGTTATGACGGGAACAGCTTGAAAAGCCGCAGTTGCGGCTGCATTGTTACTCGCATGCCGCCGCTGCAGTTGAAAGATGCCGCACACTCCAAATGGCCCCCATGCCAAGGGCACACACAACTCCCAGCTCCCAGCTCCCAGCTGCGGTTCTGGCTGCGGTTATGTATTTAAAGGCATGCGTAAGAATCGTGTGTAACTAGCGTCACATTCTGAGCTAATTAAATACACATTCTATTCAATTGCAGGCCACACACTTGCTTATCAGCAGGAGAACAAAAAAAAACCGACAAGCTCTTTGACCTTTGCCGTAGTCCGTAAGACACAGCAGCACATTGCGCTGCACTCGCAGATAAAAGAGCTTGGGGAAAGCATTTAATTCTAGGGAAAATGTCGCTGACACCAAAGATTCACTTGACAAATGGCAAAGCATTTTCCTCATTACAAAAAAAAAGAAAAAATAGTCCCCACAAATAAATAACATAAATAGGAAAATGTACTCAAAAAGCGATTCCTAAACCTATGGGAAACTAAAGGAAATTCCAAAATGGAATGGAATGGAACCCCAAGAACTAATTTATATATGATATGACATACATAAAGACCTAAACACGCCCCCTTTTTACCATGGCCCCTATATGTTTGAAAAAACCTATAAACTTTGGACCCCTACATAATATCGCTGCTGTAGGAAAGATCAGCAAAATATTCGATTTTCCAAAATATTTCAACAAACTCCGATCTTCGGCGTGCCAAAAAAATATTAAACTCAATCAAATTTGATTCACTTAAATATATCACAGATGATTAACGCTCCATTTGACGCACTTTGTTGACCAGTGTTAGATAGTGTTATGCACAGCAAATGGAAACAAACAAATTAACGGCAAAGTCATGCGATCCATTTTGGAATACTTTCACTAGCGAATGACTGGAAACAAAATAGAAAACAGAAGAGCTAATGCTGCCTTCTGGTATTGAGATCGTGTGCTCGTAAACGTGACACAAACAAACCACTTTGTTTGCCATCCCACACACACATCTATATTTCCGCGCGCCCCCCCCCCCCCTCTCCCCCTCTACGTATCCGAATAATGTTTGAACTTAATTTGGAGCAAGAACAACACACACAGCACACACTGTGTGTGTATTCACAGTAAGCCTACATTCGGGCACATCTTATAAAAATAATAACAAATTCTCCGCACATGTGTGTGCGTGTGTGAGTGCATGGCAAATCAAGTGCGGGGGGGGAAGCACATCGAATACGAAACAAAAACATGCTGTGAGTATATATGTATGTGTGTTTATTGAGTAAAAAAAAAACTGACCCCTTGGCCCGCGCACTTACAAGCCAAGATCAGCAAATGCCAATACTCGTTTTGGCCTAAATACACAAGGCGCTAACAAGTGGGCATGCAAGCGTTGCGGTCTACAACATCGAATCGTTGATGACCTACAAAGCAAATAGATTGCAATGTCTAACTGTTTATGTAGAATCAAAAGCATCTGGCTTGCAAAGAACATGTAAATTTAAATAAAATGTGGTCTATCAGAAATCTTAAAGGCGAAACGAAATTCACCGAAATCCTTAACTTGATTTTGTTGCGTCTATACCAAGATTTATCTTGCACTATAAATGACATTTACTATAATTATAGTAAGGCCCGTTATGGCAATCACAAATACGTCAGATATTTCGAACAGCAAGTGGATTAACGGTTTGGTAATTGCCATAAAAAAAAATGAGTAAATCAGTAAGGAATGCGGCAAAGAAATACTTTTCGCTTTGCCTGCAGTTGCATGCATGAATCATTCGTCGTGCATGCCGCGTACAGATTTGGTAGTGTACTCGAGAGGTGCGCGAACTCAAACCAATGCTGCGGGGAGGGGTGCAGGTTGCGGTTGCCTAAGGCCGCTGCGCAGAACTTCGGCGACGGGCAGGGCACGCACACTCGACGCGGACGCTTTGTTATTTGTGTGTTCGATGAACCGAAATTAGTGCTGACCCACTTTCCAACAAATTAACGCACTTTATGGCAAATGGAATCCACAAAAAGCACACAACAGCGATAGAAAAAGAGCGCGATAGCCCAAAGAGAGCGCGCATCAGCGTGGGAGCGGGAGAGTCAATAGGGCCAGCGTCGCAGTCGACGTTGCGATCGTAAAGAAAAATAATATTAATTTGTGCATGTGTGTGTGTGTGTGTGTACGTGTTTGCGTTCGTATGCGCGTGTGTGTGTGTGTGCCTGCTTGTAATTTACGCAACGCTCGCTTGTTTGTCGTCGTCTGTTTTGCTACTTGTTTTGCGGGCAGCGGCCGCAGCACGAGATCAACAACCAGCCATCTGCAAGCGATGGCAGCGTCAGAGTCAGCGTCAACGTCAGCGTCAGCAGCAGCAGCAGCAGCAGCAGCACAGTTGTTGAACTTTTTGCACAACAGCTCCAAAATTCGAAATCAAAACCTGTTCCAAACTTGAAGCTTGCCACACGTCTCGGCCAAATCAAAAAAGCTGGCTCAAGCCAAACGAAACGCTGCCAAGCTTTGACGTCAACAGCGTTGCTGCCGCTGCCACTGCCGCCGCCGCCGCCGCCGCTGCTGCTGCTGTTGTTGGTACAGTCTTTGTGACTGTACCTTTTTTTGTTCTTTAAATCAGAAACTTGTTTGTTGTTGTTGTTGTTGCTGTTGTTGTTGTCGCAGCGAGTCGGAGCTTTGGCTGAGCTTTTGTGGGGTGTTGATTGAAATCGATCTGTGCAGAACTGCCAAAGCTCTGACCTTGTAGCCTCAATCTCAGCAGATGCAAGTGCAGCTTATATATCTTTACATATATATATATATAAATATGCATTCATATATAATTTAGTGAGGCTTAAAGTGAGGCCCGTCCATGTAATTAATAGTGATGCAGCAGTCTGCGGGCTGTGCCACGCCCAGTGCTTGTCGTTTTTGGAACGAGCGCTTAAATGACGCTTTCCTGTGTATTTAAGGTGTCTAAACTTGACTACCGTGCAAAGTGCTGCCTGCCTGCCTGGACTTGCAAGAACAGAACGCAACGCGACGCAACGCTCGCAGCGTCCGTAACCTTGCCCAAGACTCAGCCGGCCCCCAACCCGCCTGCTGCTGCTGTCGATGGCCATTATTTTAGCCAGGCACAATCTCAAGCTCAGCTCTGAGTGCGGACTGCGGACCTCTGCTGGCTGCTGGCTACTGTTGTGCTTTTTGTTTTTGCTGTACCAACGAGTGGCAGACGCTGGCGCAGACGCAGACGCAGACGCAAACGCAGCGCGGAGCATGACAAACAGTTGCAGGCAAAGCAAATAATTAGTATACATCGATTATCTTGCGCCCGGGCTCAAATGTGTCTGTCCATATGTATGTTTGTATCACTGTGTGTGTGTGTGTGTGTGTGTACCTGGCCCGTTGGCTACTGTGCTGCGGATGCGTTGCTGTCTTCAAACTGGTCCAGCTCCAGATGTTGGCACATCGCACACGCGCCTGTTGCAGCGCCTACGCGCGCGCGCGCCCATCGGCCCACAAAACAAGTTCCCCCGAAGCCAGTCGAGCATTCTGCATTCGCCATGTGTGCAGCCATAAAATGCCGCGCCAGAACTGTACACAGCGGCAGCCCCAGCCCAAGTCACATCCAAGCCCATGAAGCACAAACAACGATGACGCCGACGCTGACGACGCTGACGACGACGACGACGACGACGACGACGTGTGCTCAGCTCGTGCCAATTCTTTGACTTTGGGCTTGAGGTTTCAGCCTCAACAGTTGCATGTAAATGTATGTACATGCATGTATGCATGCGCATGCGTATGTATGTATACATGCATGCGCATATGCAGCTTTGCAGTTACACAAATGCCTTAGAAGGCCTTCAGGCTGTAAAAGGTGAAAACAATTTGCATTAAATCAAAGTTGTTTTTAATTAACTAGTTCCATAAATACAAATCGAGCACATATTTAGCTATACGAACATGCATACATATATGCATGTATATATGCATGCAGTACATGCGTGCATATGTAATAGTATGCAGTTGGCTCTGTCGGAGGCTTCAAAATAATCCCAATAGGCGCAATAGAAATTATAAATTTAAAGCACTTCAAAATAGTTAAAGATTTCTCACGTATGATTTTCTAAGTATTCCGCCTTAAATCAGTATATATCAACTTTTCAGTTTTATCGTCTTTAAGTCTAAGCCGACCTTCCTTTTGTATAATCGAATATATATACCCCCATGTTGTATAATCTCTTCCTTCAAGTTATATAATCTCTTTAATCAGTTTACGTTAAGCTTTTATGTATTTATTTAAATATTTGTATTTTTAAGTAGCTTGCCTCCAAATCCAAGATTTTATTATTTCATGCGTAGAGTGTGAAAAAAAAAAATATATATATATATATATATATGTGCCTTATGCTAACTCAATTTGGAATTGTTGTACAATAATTGTTAATTAAGAAATTAAGTTGAACAAACTGAATAGTTAAATATATTTATATATGCAGCATGTGTCTATTCATTATATACGTGCATATATATTTGCCTAATGCATGTGCCTAATGTAATGCATTCATTCTGTCTGCATTGACATTAGTGAAGTGTGTAATTTAAATGCTGTAACAATTCGTGTTATTCGTGTTCATAATTGAGGCCGAGATAGTTGGTAGCTAATGTGGTTTTTTGGGGGAAATGTTACATTAAAGTAATTTTATTCGAACAATGTGCAAAATTTGCTGAACCTTCCGTTTTCTTTGGCCGCTAATGGCTAATGAGTTATCATCGGATGTTGTGTTCGCTTCGGGGCCTGCAGCCTCAACCGGCAATACTTTGGATCTTTCTCTCACTCAGCCAGCTGCTGGCTACCGTCTCGAGGCTACCGTCTACCTTCTACCTTCTCGCGGCTACTGTTCCTCCATATGGATGTATATATAGATGTATATTATCTTGATTGACTTAGGGCTTTCGGTTCGTAATGATGATATTTTCATCATCATCCGTTCGTTTTATCGGCAATATTCTTGACGCTCTTGTTGCTGTTGTTCGCCAAGTAGCTGTACATTTTGTGCCCAGTTACCAGGTGTGAGGAGTTACCTGCACTTGAGGCTACAACTTCAACATGAGGCCGTGGGCTTTTGTCTAGTGAAATGTTGAAAGCATCATTAATTTTTTTATAGTATCTTTCGCCTTTTAGCCCAAACTTTAATATACCTGTACACGTGTGTGTGTGTGTATGATAATTGCAGGCGGAAAGAAAAGAGAGAGAGAGAGAGAGAGAGAGAGAGAGAGAGAGGGAGAGAGAGAGAGAGAGCAGCACATACTACATAAGAAGTGACCCATAATTACCGCCAGCCCGGTCCCAGTCGCTGCCAACAGAACAATCATGGGAAAACTGTCTGTAACCCGGTCTGCGTTCTGTTTTGCTGCCTTTTGATATAAAGTACAATAATTTGAGCAATGCCAATGCTACGTTTTCTGATTATCTTGCCGTTTACACGGCACGCATAAACACAAAAAGCACGCAGCTGGAGCTGCGCCCGTTCGCAACGGGCCCCCAAATACTGATCCCAATCCCAGTTCCCCACTCTCAGTCTCAGGCCGGAGGCATCGTCACAGTTCTCCTTCTGTCAATGCCGAGATAATGTTCGTCACCAACCAACAATTTGATTTCTATACCCTAACATCTGCGAGAATTCAATTTGATTTGTCATGCTCTATGCGACACATCTCCCATTTTGTTCGGCATATACACACATTTATTTATAATATAGTATAATCTATGGGCAACTATTTACTGAGATCGGTTTCTAACTCCTTTTCAAAGATCTTTGTTAAAATTCATTTCATACGTATTTCACACGTTTCGCAAAATCCACCCCGCTTGAATGTGAAATGCGGTTCAAATTTCCTTTTTTTCCTTTAAGATTTCAACTTTGAGTTCTTAAGTCGAACAACTTGAAGTTCATTCTCAAATATCTATATAACTTTAAGCCTGAACTTAACAAAAGTATATATATTTTCAATTAAGAAACTTGCAAAACAGACAAGGCCGGGAAATATGCGCTAACTCTATTGTGGTTGTATCACTTTATAATATTAATAGGATATTTTGATTTTATTATTATAATATCCTTTAAGCATATTATAATAATAATATGCTGCCAAGCTAATGTATAAGGAAAAAAGTTATAATAGAATAAATATATATGAATTTTTAATATGATAAAAAAAATTAAGCTAATGTTATCCTTGAGTATTTGTTTTGGATAGCATAGAATAATTTCATATAATAATTTAAGCTCACAAAACTTCAGGTTGACTAACAAATTGATATGTGCAAAAAGGATTTCCGGTTAGGTCTGCAAGGGTATTCAATCTTCGGCTCGGCCAAGTAATTGTTTTTTTATCCAGGTTTTCTTTTTTTTTTTTTTTTTTGATTATCGCCAACGCTGACGCAGCCCTTTTCAAGAGCTGGAACAAGTGCAGCGAACAAGTGCACCTTTATCTGTGCCCTTACCTTTACCTTTACCTCTACCTTTACCTTTACCTGGACAGCTACCTATGCTAATTAGAGCGACGGCCTCGGCCTTGTTTTTATGCGCTTTTAGCGTGAACTGTCCGGCCGGCCGTGCGGTAGCTGCATAAATTTTCTGCTCCACGGCAAAAAGTGCATACCGAATGCCGCAATACTTGCGCATGAATATATAATTTATGCGCCAACTTTCATGGGAAAAGTGAGACAGAAAAACGTTAAGCTGGTGTCCTGCCAAACGGATTTCTACATGCGACCGCAGGACAGGTGTGTGTGTGTGTGTGTGTGTGTGCGTACCTTACCCTAACATAAGCAGAGGGTTGTTAATAAGTGCGCCCACAGCGTGACGAGAGCCTAGAGATTCTCCAACTGCACGCTGTACTGCAGTATGTAGGTGAGATAGGTGACCAGGCCGGACAGAAAGACCAAGATCAGCTCGTTGGACACCTCGAATAGGCCCAAGGGACGCACACGAAATTCGTTATAGTTCAGACGGTTCAAGAACATTTCCAGCTGCGAGAAAGGGAGCACTTAAATCAAGCTCGAGTCCGACTGAAGTCCGCCTTCTCACCTTCATGTGCCAATCCTTGTGCTCGCTAACGTAGTAATTCTCCAGGCTGAGCCGGCGGATCACTCGCGAGCTGCTTCTCGCACCATGCACCACAAGGGTCAGCAGCAAAATGTCCAGCAACATCTTGCCCTCCATGGTCCACAGGCTGATGCCGTCGAATTGGTTCAACGTGATGAAAAAGGCAACCAGCGCCATGCTGACAAAGGTAAACATGAGTATGATGCAAAGCGGAAACTCGATGAGCTGATGGAACGAGCGGCCCACCTGATGCAGCTCATCGTAGATGGCCAGGCACTCGTCCAGGCGGTGACCAGCCGCCTCCAGCTGCCTCCGGCTGACGGCGTCGCCCAGTTCGCCGAGCTGTTGGCGCAGCTCGTGCCGCACATAGCTGTTCAGCCGGTCGTAGATGATGCCCAGGCTGAGGTAGCCCACGAAGCAGATGTGCATGATCATGGCCGCATTTACGGTATTGTATGTATCGCAAATTGTGCTCAGCACAAAATGAAAGTCAAGCTCCTCGAGCATCGGCGGTATCATGTAGACAAGCTCGTGCAGCATACAGATCACCTTGCCGAGCAGCAGGCACAGCGCCCACCTGCCCCCGTAGCCCACATCCTGACAGCCGGGCAGCGCCTCCACGCGCTGATAGAGCCGCAAAAAGCTGTTGACCACACGAAGCACTCGCTGTCCATGCCAGAGCTGCAGCAGCAGGGTGACCACAGCGCAGACCATGCAGATGAGCATGCGAAAGATGACGATTACCTTCAAATGGGAGACCTTCAGCACGAAGATGAAGTCATTGTACAAGACGTAGTAGAGGCCACACATCAGTATGCGCGCCAGCAGGCAGAACCATTTGTACCAGGGCCAATCCTTGGCCACCAGACGCCGCTCGCTGCGATTCCACTTCACGCCAAAACAGATGATACCCATAATTGTGGCGTACCTCAAGCCGCCGCGCAGGATGCCCGCCGAGACCGAGGAGGCGCGCAGCCGGCGACGAGCTCCGATCATGACTGGGCCACAAGTGTCTAGCCAAACGGGCTGGCAATTATACTTATAGCTATGCCTATGCTGATGCTTATCAATGGGCTTCAATAAGCTAATTGAAGCTGCAATATTATCCGAGATTCTAGACAACATGTGACAGCATATGACCTATACAATTATCACACCTTCAAGTTTATTTGTCAAGTAGCTTGATAAAAATCAAAAGGCAATTAATATAACATATATATATATTATTTCTATAAACACACCCAAATGACATTAGCCTATTAGCTTATTAGCATTAGCATTAGCTTGGCCTTAACTGCGAGCAGAGCCAGAAAGAAATGAATGCGTAGCTAAGTATTAAACATTTAATATTATTATTATTATTATTATTATTATTATTATTATTATTATTATTATTATTATTATTATTATTATTATTATTATTATTAATACTATTAATATTATTTCAGTTCTCTCCGACAGCTCTTGGTGTCCAGTTCAAATAAAATATAATCGGACTAAAAGGTCCGATTTTTTTTTCATATCTGATTCGTTTGCATGCCATACTGCAGTATGTAGGTGAGATACGTAACCAGGCCGGAAAGAAAGACCAATATCAGCTCGTTGGATATCTCAAAGAGTCCGAATGGACGTACTCGAAACTCGTAAAAATTCAAGCGACTCAAGAACATTTCCAGCTGCAATGGATGAAGAAGAGTTCGTAGTAATATTTAAGCTCGAGTGTTTTTGCTAATCTAATACAATTTCAGAGGTGAGTAAAAAATATATGCTATTGTTCTGAATTTTAAAAGCAAATTAATCAACTGCTTAGACTTGAGCCAGCGACTGCACGCTTGCTGGTCCGACGCGTACTTGACCTCACGTTTGCTAAGCACAATTTCTTGATGTTTTTGCATTTTGCTCACTGTTCACCAATTTCCCAAAGCCCCGCCCACTTTTAGACCAAAACCAAGCTTGAGCAGGAGTCACAGCTGGCCAGGAACTCACCTTCATGTCCCAATCGCTGCGTTCACTCACATAGCAATTCTCCAGGCTGAGCCTGCGAATCACTCGCGAGCTGCTGCAGGCTCCATGAATGGCCAGTGTCAGCAGGACCACGTCGACGAAGAGTCTGACCACAAGGAGCCAAAGTGTGGCATCACGGAATCTGTTCAGCATGATGAAGTAGGAGACCAGGGTCATGCTGAGAAAGGCGAAGAGCAGAATGAGGCACAGCGGCAGCTCCATGAGGCGATGAAAGGCGATGCCCACACGCTGAATCTCATCGTAAATGCCCAGACACTCGTCCAGCCGGTAGCCGGCGGCTCTCAGCTGCCGCCGACTGGCCTGGTAGCCATCGTGCTGCTCCAGGCCGCGCAGCTGGCGGCGCAGCTGCTGGCGCACATAACGGTTGACGCGGGCGTAGAGGGCGCCCACGCTGAGATAGCCCACGAAGCACATGTGTCCGATCATGGTGGCATTCACACTGATATAGATATCCACGAGCAGGCTAACAACAAGTCGCAGATTGAGACCGGTAAAGAACATGGGAAGCTCGCAGAAGAGCTCATTTAGCAGGCAAATCAGCTTGAAGATCAGCAGACTGAGCTCACGCTTGCCGCCGAAACCCTGATCCTCGCAGCCGGGCAACGCGTTGACCTTCCGGAACAGCCGGAAATAGCTGTTGACCACGCACAGCACCTGCTGGCCAAACCAGAACTGCATCAGCAGAATGACGCAGGCACAGATCATACAGCCGACCAGCCGGATCCACGAGAGTATCACCAAATGCGGATTATCCAGGCTCTTGATATAGTCAAGGCTAATGCTGGTATAAATGCCACAGATGAAGATACGCGACAGCAGACAGAACCACTTGTACCAGTAGCGATTCCGGGCAACCAGGCACCCATCCGCTCGATTGCCCTTGATGCCAAAGCAAATGAATCCCAGCATTGTGGCATAGCAGTAGGCGCCGCGCAAGATGCGCGCGGAGAGCGAGGAGACGCTCACCTGGCTGCCGACCATGACTAAGCGCACAAATTACCGCAATGTTGTGGCACAGCATTGCCTGGCACTATTTATAAGCACACACACACACACACATACACAGGTGTACACATATTTACATAGGTATTAACTGATTGCTTGGTCAAGGTCAGGGCTTCCCGCTCCCATTGATAGCCATCTGGAGGGTTCATTAGGCTAATGGCTACCTGGCGCAATATTTTGATAAGCGAAATAAGTTTAATAGAGGCTTGATAATTGATTGTAGAAACAATATTTGCAATGACTATTTATTGATACGACAAAACAGATTGGAAAACGTTTACTGGTCTTTATTTGTCTTTACAAGTATCGATATGGTATCCATATCTCATCTATCTTCTGCATATCCAGGACAAGATTTGCTGTTCAGTTCGTATCTTACATATATATATATATATATATATATCTATCACACCTGTGCTCGGATCCGTTCTGTTTTAACATACCTGCAGACGTCTCTGTGCACCTGTTAATTGAGCCAAAGCTTGGAGAATTTAATCAGAAATTGTTTAATTGATTAAGTAGTTGCTGAACTATGTGCGTCAGCGCGGGGATGACTAAGCATTGTTAACATTATCAACCTGGGCATACCTCAAAACATAGCAAAATGATGATGATGATGATGATGATGATGATGACGATGATGAAGATGAAGATGATGATAATGATGAAGATGAAGTTGAAGATGGAGATGGAGATGAATATGAAGATGAAGATGAATATGAAGATGAAGATAAAAATGATGATGAGGATGAAGATGAAGATGAAGTTGAAGTTGAAGATGAAGATGAAGATGAAGATGGAGATGAATATGAAGATGAAGATAAAGATGAAGATAAAGATGAACATGAAGATGAAGTTAAATTTGAAGATAAAGATAAACATGGAGATGAAGTTGTATTTAAAGAAAAAGATAAAGATGAATATGAATTTAAAGATGAATATGATGAAAATGATGAATATGAAGATGATGATGAGGATAAAGATGAAGATGATGAATATGAAAATGAAGATAAAGGTGAGGTTGTTGAAGATGAAGATGATGACAATGATATAGACATAAGTAGGTCCTTCCGTGTAAGGAAATGCTTGCAAGCTAATATCTATTATTACATTTACATATGCCCCAATGCAGAGTTTCTATCTAAGCATATTTTGTATGTATTGTACATAGTTGTACATCATTAGAATTTTGTAGTTTAAATTTAAAAAAGTCAACCTGGCTAAATGGATGCCTAAATTGACAAACCGAACCCAAAGAGAGATGGTTTTTAAAATGGATGATGTACACCTGACTTGATCTGTCTGTATCGTACATAGTTGTACATCATCCATTGCATTTATTAAGTTAAATTTAAAAACTAAAAAAAAAGTCAACCTGGCTAAATGGATGCCTAAATTGACAAACCGAACCCAAAGAGAGAGGTTTTTATTTTGGATGATGTACACCTGACTTGATCTGTCTGTATCGTACATAGTTGTACATCATCCATTGCATTTATTGAGTTAAATTTAAAAACTAAAAAAAGTAAAACTTGGCTAAATGGAAGTCTAAATTGACAAACCGAACCCAAAGAGAGATGGTTTTTAAAATGGATGATGTACACCTGACTTGATCTGTCTGTATCGTACATAGTTTTACATCATCCATTGCATTTATTAAGTAAAATTTAAACAATAAAAAAAGTAAAACTTGGCTAAATGGAAGTCTAAATTGACAAACCGAACCCAAAGAGAGATGGTTTTTAAAATGGATGATGTACACCTGACTTGATCTGTCTGTATCGTACATAGTTGTACATCATCCATTGCATTTATTAAGTTAAATTTAAAAACTAAAAAAAAGTTAAGCTTGGTTAAATGGAAGTCTAAATTGACAAACCGAACCCAATGAGAGAGGTTTTTTTATTTTGGATGATGTACACCTGACTTGATTTGTCTTACTTCTATATTGTTGTACATCATGTATTGCATTTTTGTCTGTTGTTGTTGCTGTTGCCGCTGCGATCCGTTGTTGGGGTCACGCTCTAAGCTCCGCCATGTAAATGACGCCCCCATTTCATGCGGTACATGTACGTGATCTTCTGGCATATCTCTTATGCTACATCTTCTCTCCTACACCTCATTATTGTGTGTGTGTGTGTGTGTGTGTGTGTGTGCACGATTACAGCGCTCAACGATTTGCGTCCAGATCTGTGAAGATCTTTCAAGCTGCTGACTTCGCTGACAGCGCCCCAGCCTTGCCTTGAAGTGCCATTTGAAAAGAATTTTCTCATTGTTGTTGGCCTTTTTTATTGTTACGTTTTTTTTAACGTTTTTTTTAACGTTTTTTTTTTTTTAGGTAATTACAGTAACAACAAAAGCAAGAAACTGAACAATGCGTGGCCAGGGGACAACGAACGAGGCACGTACATTTTCCAGCATTGTACGAAAATTGTGGGAACAATCAACGAAATGAACACTGAAAACCCAAAGTGCTTTGCATGCCGTGTTGCCGTTGATTTGCCGCAAATTGGCTCAGCTCAGCTCAGCTCAGTTTTAAAATTGCGCAAGCCGGGCCCAGACCAGACCAGACCAGACCGGACCGAAGGAAATCATGCGAAGCGGCTGGCCACAACTTGGTCAGCAGATTAGAGCAAACCAAAGGGCTGCCAATTGCTCAGCGTGACCTCACGTCCAAACGCAGCAGACACGCAGCTTCAAGAACAGAGAGAGCGAGAGAGAGAGAGAGAGAGAGAGAGAGAGAGAGTTAGAGCGAGACAGCGCTGCCTTTGGCTAGTTGAATGGGTGGGGGGCAGGCAATTTGCTGCAGGGTTGATTGATTTCCATTGTGTCCAGGGAGTCTGCGTGTGTGACTCACGGCCTTGGCTCGCTTTTCACGCTTTTCCAGGCATTGCACTCGCCGAACGATCTCTGACATTAATGATGATTAATGAAAAACGCAGTGCTATTAAATGCTGTTGCCCCTTTCCACCCATTTGCTATAATTTATTGCGTTTAGTTTTTTTTTATTTTACAGATGCCGTTTTCTGGTGCGCAGTTGCAAAAATGTGAAAGCCGCGAAATAGAAAAACGACAACAGCGCGCAAGTGTGTGTGTGTGTGTGTGTGTGCCTGTGGCTGCACAATTTTAATGGCACCAGAGCTTGGCTTTACCGTTACGGCAAAGCGAAAAAGGCAACAAATCAACGCAGCCAGCGTCGCCATAAATTGTTCTTGTTTTTTTTTTTGGTTTGCTATGTGCGCTTTAAATTTATTGCGAGGCCAAATGCAAAAAGGCGCAGGCGAAAATGCGGCCAACGCGACTGTGTGCACAACTACATGCATACATACAATCTCTCACGCTCGCTGCCTTCCGCTCTCTCACTCTCTTACTCTCTGTCTGTCGCTCTGTGTGTGTGTGTGTGTGTGTGTTTCGCAGAGTTTCTATGATATTGCGCATGTATGCGTGCACGCGTACGCGCATGTGTGACTGCATTGTGAATGCTACGCCGACATTAAAAATCTTAAAATTGCATGCTAATAACCATGCCCGGCCAGCTACTTAAGTGGGCAAATAGTATGTTGGACATGCTTGTTACTAAATGCACAGCGTGTAATTTACTTTTGCGAAATGCCATTATTGCATAAACACAAAACTATGTACGTATGAATGCAAACAAACACATGCATACATACATACATGTGCATGCACGTACATGCCTTCATTTCCAATTGAAAAGTCGCGACTGTGCAGTCTACACACACACACACATAGACACTAGATAGCTGCACGCACACAACTGAAACACATCTATGTGAATATTGGGCGCCTGGGCCGCCAGCTGAGCGAGCGACCGCCGTTCTGGCAGCATCAATCATCATCAAACCGATGCCGACGTCGACGTCGACGTCGTCGTTCGCCTAAGGCCTGCCGGAAGTGACAGCCAATCTAATGTTAAGTGCCCACTCCACAAGCAACAAATTACAACTGGAAAGCATTTTCTCAAATGTCTGCAGGCAGCATTGGAAACAATGTAGCACAAATGTGCACGTGTATGTGTGGCTGTGTACGGTAAAGCCTCACTAAGGCGAATATTGAAACTTAAGAGAGAAGAGAAAACGATCACAAGCATTCATAATCTGCAGCAAGCAACAAATATTTAAGATTATTTCGCCGTAATTTGTGTTAACTAAATTATCTAGAAATCATTTATGGACTTACCGTGAGGACTCACCCAACTGTCCATTGGGCCTAGCTAACATTTCTTAACATTCTTAATGTCTCCACATTAACAGTTAGTTGCATGCTGATGCAGTTCAAGTATAGTTTTTGTTTAAGGAGTTCGTTTCACTGACGCTCCACTGTATCAAACGGTTGCCTAGGACCGCCTCAGTTCCGCTGACTCATCGTTTTCTCTTGCTTTTCTTTAGACGCCTCAAACAAATTACGCTTTCTAGAGCGCGTCCTCCCCGTAAGCAAATAAAAAGCTTTTAAGTTTTTTACTTTACATTTGTATTTTGTTTGTGTTTTTTTTTGTTGTTTTTTTTTTTTTTTTTTTTTTTTTGAAGATTTTGTCTTCCTTTGCTAAAAAGTACAGTATAAACTTTTGTTTTTGTTTGTTTTTTTTTTTCCATAATTTCATTGTGTGTTGTGTTAGTTATACAATTTTTAGTTTCATTTAAGGAAATATGCACAGTTTGTGTTGTTTTTGTTTTTGTTTAAGTTTAACTACTTTTCGATTTTTCCTTTCCAACGAATGTCAATGTACACATTGTTTTATTGAATAATGTTTAAATTTGGTTTACCGTATTGCGAATTAATAATAATAATAGTAATAATTATACACAAGTAATATTGATCGAAATTGTTAATAAATACAAGAACTTAATTGTGGAACTTCAAGAACTCCTGTGTAATTTGTAAGTTCGTTTTAAATAATTTCAATTATATTACATTTAGACAAAATAATTTAAATTGTTTTTTTATTGAGATCATGACAAATTGTAAATACTTTCGGCACACGCGTGCTGCAGAAGCCGGAAACACGCTGAGAACGCTTTGAAATTGTGAGGGGAGGGGGGGGGAGGATATCTAATTAGTATCTAATTTTTTTTTTTTATTTTGAGTGTGCGTGTGTGTGGGCTCCTTCTTCTGCTACTTCTTCAATTATATTTTTCTTTTCAAAGCAAACGGCTTGGCAACAAAAGCTTAAACAACAATTTGAACTGTCAAGTCTTGGATTTGTTTAAACAAAAAATATACACATATAAAAAAAAAACATAAATTATTTAAATAATAAAAATTTGTTATAATATTATTATAATATCAATTATTGCCCCATTTCGCTATTATGGCTATCAGCTGTTGTAGTCTGCTTGTTGCTGATCTGATTACTTTTACGTTTTGGCACTTTCGAAGCTCCACTGTAGCCCTTGCGTATGCGGTAAATTCCTGAAGAAAAACAAAAACAAAAAACAGCTATAATTAGACACAGTTGACAAAATAAACAGCAAAAGTGCAAACGCCTGACCTTCAAATGCATATAAAGCTTAAGGAAAAGGGAAAGCAGCGACAACAAAACAGAGCGAAAACTGCAAACGTTGCCATACAAAACAAACAAACTGCAGCAGAGCACACTCACACACGAACGCACACACACACACACGCATGTGCACATGTACACATAAAGCTCTCTTATCAGGCGCCTGCGTGTGCATGTATTCACACATTCACACATACAACGAATTTGAAATGTATATGTGCACAGTAAAAGCTCTCTTAAGCGAACAGCCGATATTGCAATTGGCAATAACAAATAACAAATAATAGCATATTATACAAATAATTGTTTTATTTATAGATCTTTTTTTTTTGGGCCAAGCGAAATGCGGCTCCGTTCGCCAACAGAGCTTTCACTGTACATTTACTGTGCATGTATGCAAGCAAACATTTAACACATGCATGTATATATGTATTTGTGTGCATATAGTGCCGCATGGCAAATCGATAGGTATTATATGCATACATATACACATCACAGAGGCCTTATCAGCAGGTCGCTAACAAAACCTGAGAGTTTTCTTGTCGTCGTTGCGCTTTCCTTTATACTAAACGTTAATCAGTTGCTAGTTAACTTAGTCATTTATACTGCGCATTGACACAAAAGGCGAGAGAGAGAGAGAGAGGGAGAGAGAGAGAGTTGGCTAGGTAATAGAGTATAGTATAGAGCTGTGGGTCTTCCAATATTAGCGTGGTGCCAATCGGTCTCATAAATAGTGGGAAATGATATGCGAAATCTGGTCAATGAACTATATATGAAAAAGTGTAATCCCCGGGAATTAAAGACTTGGTAAGCATTTTGTATTTAACTGACGTTATGAAAAACCTTGTGGAACATCAGAAAGCTCTATGTGCAAATTTGACTGAAGCCTATATAATGTGATTGATATGATTAAAGAGAACTTCGTGATATAGTTACTATTATTATGGCGATTGGTAAAGCTCTTTGAGATGTACTCATTTTACAACATGACTCACTTAAGCGGCACGCGCTCATCTCTAGCGATATAGAAGAAGACGAAGAAGAAGAAGACAATAGCGCTGGCGGCGCATTATACAGTTAAGAGAAAATTATAAGCGAACGACAACAAAGAACGTTAAGCAATGCGGTCACAAGAAAGCGCTGGCATCCATTTGGCTTCGCTGAGCGGGTGGCGTTGACGCTGACTGTAATAAGCGGGCGGGCGGGCGCGTCGTTCTTCATTTCAAGCATTGTAATTTACCGTTATTGGCACGCAAAGCTTTTCGATTCATTATGCGTTTACAGCGCTTTCTACTACAAAACGAATGTACCGCAACAACAGAAAGAAAGAAAGAAAGAAAGAAACAATCCGCGCCACATAGGACGCTGAGACGACAACAAAACGCGTTTTGTTTACGAAATATGTGTGTAGCGAGAGAACGAAAACAGGAACGACGACAACAGCAACAGCAACAGCAACACATAACATAAATATTTATTAACACTCATACATGCATATACATATACGTGCATGTATGTATGTGGTTGAGGCCGTGAGAGTTGCTGCTTACATACATAATTATAAGCTTTGGCTGGAGGCGTGGCGAAAACTCCAAAGCAAAACAAAAAGCGCAAGCAGGCGAACAAGAAACAAAACAAATGCGTCTAACTGTGAAGTACAGTGGTGATCAAAACATGGCAAAAATAGTTAAAGAAAGTAGGCAAAAGCTTAGACGAACAGATACAAAAAAAAAAAACAAAGTGCTTCGCCCTATATATGCATATACATACACATACAGAGAATTGTCAAAATTTTCAACTTTTTTTGGTTTGAATAAAATACAAGATAAATAGAATTTGTAAAGTTGTTTCACGCAATCGGAAAACGCAAAATATATAACTCGCTGCCGTGACAATTCACAGTTGTTAGCTCTGAACCTGCCAAAAGCCGCAGACGCTGCTGTACTTACGCGTAACGAGCGCGTGACCTTCACGATGAGCTTTGAAAAACAAAGCAACAATAACAACATGCGTGCGTACTTCGTAGTGCGTGGCCAATATATGTATTTACACGCACACGCACACACACACACGCATGCATGCATAAGCCAATACAGATACAAACACGCTTATCAGTGGGAATACAAAAAAAAAACTAAAAATAAAAATCACAAATTCGCGCCACAACGAAGAGAAAACAACAACATCATAGGCCCGCGTGTGCCAATGCAAACAAATAACAGCAGCAGCCGATCTGTCTTGGCTCTCTCCTACTCTCTGGCTCTCCTTTATTGAGAGCAGAGAGAGAGCACTCAAGCAATGCTTTAGCCTGCCCGATTGTCTGGCCCCGTCACATCTGTGTGCGTGTGTGTGCATTTGTGTTTGCGAGTGGGCTGACAAGGCGTGTGTATAAGAGTCGACGACGTTGTTGTCGTTTGTCGTTGTGGGTGCGGCTGTCAGGCAGCGGCAGCGGCAGCAGCAGCAGCAACAACAACTTTTTAATGTACAGTCGCTCGCAGACGTGTGCCAAGTTTTAATATTCTCTTGATTTCTTATTTTTCGTTTTCATTTTGCGTGTGTGTGTGTGTAGCCTACAATAACAGCAACACAGCGCACACTGACAGTGATTTCCATTTTAATTGAGGCCTCTCGATTAATTGTCAGCCAACTGCAGTTGCAGCTGCAATCGCTGACGCAATCAGTTGCAGATTTCTTTTATTTCGCCGCTATTTTTGAGCAAAAACTAAAACGATGCGCATATGAATATGTGGTATACATATCCACATACATGCATATGTATTATCTTTTTTGGCGCGAAAATTATTTTGTCAATTGAACAGCGCTGCCAGCGTCGACGACGTCTATGTTGTTATTCAACAGTTTTCATTCAATGTGGTTTCTTATCTCTATTCGCGCTTGTATTTGCATTTCAGTTTGTTTTTTTTTTTTTCTATTTATCGCTCTTGATTTATCTTTGCAAATCGCCTTTACTTTGTTGTGAATAGTGGAAATTGGTGTTGCGGCGAAATCAAATTCAATCAATTCAACTTTGAGCTTCAAACAAGAATGAGGGGGAGAGAGAGAGCGAGCGAGCGAGCGAGTGAATACATGTGCAAGCATGCGTGTGTGTATGTGTGAATGCCCAAAAATGGTTAAGAAGAGCAAGCTCAAAGTGAAAAGGCACAAAAGCGAACGACTATCAAAACAAAACTACAAAAACACGAGACTCGAGCACAAATACGATTTTGTTTTAGGCGCGAAAAACCTGGCAAAAAGGGACACTGCGTTTACTCAAAAGCGCTTAATGCGTAAGCCTAACAACAACAGCGGCACAGTGGTGCAAATATTGAGTAACAAGATGCAAATATTCTGTGCAAAGGTTATTGAATTATTGACAATCTGGCAATCAGCTGGGCACTGCACCTGAAACAGAAAACAGAGCGAAAGAAGGGCAAAGCAATACGACAGGGTAACTGTGCCAACGAAAGAGAGAGGCAAAGGGAGAGGGAGAGCGAAAGAGAGGGAGAACAGAAATCAAATGGCAATTGCCAATTGGACGCAACTTACTTTTGAGTCCGTTTTTCGGCGCAACTGCAGCAAAATTGGGCTCCTTTTGCACTTTCGTAATCGATTTTTTCATTTCGATGCCTTTGACAATATAAATTTGCGTTGTGTCCGTTTCCAGTTTTTTGATACTAATATTATAGCGTTCATTTAAATAGTTTTCTGTGCGCTTGTTTTCCGCCTCCAGCATGGCGTCGATATCATTGCCTGGACGGCAATCGAACAGCTTCCGCTTGACGGACTGAACCTCGGGCGAGGATTTGGGGGGGCGCCGCGCAAGTGTCGTCAATGGCTGCGCCAGGGGTTGCACCTCAATAAACGACGGCATCTTCACTTTTTTATTTTTATTTTTTGCTTTCTTTTTTCTTTTTTCAAATTTTTATTTGCAGCTGTATTTTGCTTTTCTGTGCTTCACTTGAGCAATTTCTTCTTTGCCAAATACAAACAAAAACAAAACACAGAAAATCAGGTGGCAAGAAAGTCACGTACCGTGCGGGGCGAGCATTGCAAACTGCATGTGTTTAAATGCAAATTGAAATTGATTTATTTATTTTTGTATATATTGCTCTTGGCACAGTTCCTGTCTAGTTTTTTTTTGTCTTATAATTTTTCGGTTTTTTTAATTGTACGTACGCAAACGCGAGTCAGAAAGCAACACACGGCACACGGAGCGGCTGCGTCTGCACGACTTGAATGTTATAACACGAATGACAATGCTACGTGAGCGTAGCTGTTGAGTTAAAAGTTAACAGAGGCATAACAGTGCAGAAAATGTTGTTTACAGTTGCAGCTGCTAGAGTGTTATCAACATTGAGCGATCTCTGCATTTCTCTTAATTTTGATAACTGTTACAAAGAGCACAAATTTAGCTTTCTTAAAAAGGGGAAGAGCACAGGTGAATTTTATGAAGGTAGCGCAATGCACAACATTTGGAATGCACAAAATTTTGTAAATTAAAAACAATGGCATCAAATTAAAGTTTGATCGCAGCATATTAATTACACAACTCGAAGCGTTCATTTTCATGAATATTGTGGGAGCCTTATACTTAAAGCAAAACAGCAGCCAAACAATATAAAAAAATAATTTGCAAATCATTAATGCTCTTATGACGTCACTGTATGCTGTTTAATAGCAGTATAACACTTCTGTCATACCTTGTTTGTGTATTGCAGCATGCCTGTTCAAGAGCGAACGCGCTCTCTCAGTCTGTTAAGTAACAGTGACTTGCAGGGCTGCCAGATCTGGCACAAACTAGAGAAAATGCGCGATGTGTGTGTGTGTGACAGTATATGCATGTACGTATGTTTATGGATTTTGTAAATATTACATTTGTATTGCGGCAGTTGTTGTTGTTGTTTTTGGATGATTTAATGATGTTTAAGCCCTAGTTCAAGGTCAGAACAAGTTTCATGCCGCATTAAACGACATAATTACTGCGACGTGCTTACAAAAAAAGTACAAACCGAAAAAAAAAAAACACTTTCGCGCTCTAGGCGCTCGTTCAAGCGTTGCCCACAAATGAAAGTGAAAACAGTTTGAAATCGACATAGACACACACACACGCACGCACACATGCACACATAATTATGCGTGCATTTGTGTATTGCTGAGTTGCCCTGAAACAGCTGAAGTTGATCCCGGGCCAGGGATTAGTCATTTCTGACCAGACAAAGGCGCCGGCGCGCCTATTGGCAAGTATGGGATTTATTATACACACATACATACATATATATACATTTTTCGGGATTTTTCCTATTTTTGGCAGCTACCTGCCCCCAAACACACAGCGAATGCAACAATAAGGGTTGCGCACAGGTCCTATGCAAAAATCAACCCTCGCGCCAAACGAAAAAAAGAAAAAAAAAAACAATTAAGAAAATTGCACTGGGATGCAACTAACTGCGCAATACTCTTTCTCTTTCTGCGCTCTTTATCTATGCACATGTATATGTAGTGCGTGAAGAGAGAGAGAGAGAAACGGGCAGCCCCCCCTCCCCTTGCTTAGCGTATGAATATCTAAAACAAAAAAAGCGAAACCTCTTCGAAATTTTGTGACAATTGAATGCGCCTCAATTCGGATGCGTCATTTTTAGGGAAAATGCGTTTCGATTTGATTCTGCACTTTGTCGCAGTTTCAGTTGCACATACATACATGCATATGTATGCATGTATGTGTGTGTGTGTCTGTTCTACGTGACGGGCCTGCTGCTGGGCTACTTTTGTGGCCAACTTCCGTTAAGCACAGCTTGTGCCACAGAAAATCACGTGCGGTTCGTTTGATTGTTGTTTTTCCTTGCGTCGATTTGTCATTGGAAATTCTTTTGGAAAATGTGCACGCGCGGCACGTGATCGCTGCAAATGTGGCATGCCACCAAAAAGGTTAAAGGCAACGGCAAGGCGGCGCACTTAATTCAAAGTATCTGTATCTGCCTTTTGTATCTGTATCTGTGCCTGCGCCCGTGCCTGTGCGCCTGGCTGTGCCTGCTGACGTCACGTTTGCGTAATTAATAAATGAGATCATTAACGGAGCTGCCGGGCTTGTGCACGTGGCAACAGTCTGTGCATACTGCGCCGGTTGCATGTGCCTGCGTTAAATGTATCTAGCAGATGCATGTGCCTGCGTTAAATGTATCTAGCAGATACATTAGGGTCGACCGCAGTCTATTTTTAGTGCGTGGGGCGGCGTCTGGGCCCGGGTTGGAAATTGTGCCGAATGTGCAGCCAGTTGCCTCGTCGTTTGACAAGCCAGAAAACATAAATAAGTTTTGCGCACAGCTGAGAATCTTTTCCCCCTACTCCCTACTCCCATACCCTTTCCCTTTCCCTTTGTGAGGCATCTGTAAATTTTGCGCCAATTTGTGCGGCTGCTGGCTTTGGCGGAACACATGCACAGGCACACATATACCTGCTGCCAATTTTGAGCAAATTTTTGCGCCAAAACCAAAACCTGAATCAGACACAGACGGGCATCTGGCATCAGGCACCAGGCGCTCGGTCACCACAAACCGGGCCACTCTCTGCTCCCGCTTCCGCACCTTCAACATTTTGTTGAGCCGCAGCTCAACAAGCCGAACAAGTGCTTTGGTTTTTATTATTTTTGTTCCTCTGTGTTTCGTGTATACCCTGCACTTATTGGGAATGCATCTACAGAGTATACTTAGTCAATCTCTGGGAATATTTGATCTCGAGACTTGAGACGTAGATGAATTTAAATGCATATTATCGATATTTCTACGATATCGATAAATATCGTTAATATCTTAAGTTCGATTATTTTTAACTAATCAGAGGTTGATCGTTGTTTAGTAAAAGATTACGACTATTTCATACCCTGTTCCTAAAGATGAATTTATATTCAACTAATCGATAATTCACGCTCTTTTCTACGAGATCGATAAGTATCAATTTTTCAGTTCGATTATTTTGACTATATTCTGGGACTAAAAAGATATAGAAATGCTAGGTAGTAAAAGATTCCGACCATATCATACCCTGGACTTTGGTACTCAGTGTGGGGAAAGAAGAAGAAAGTTACAGGGTATCTGCCAGTCAGCACTAGGCAGCTCTTCCTTGGTTTTGTTTTGCTTTGAGCCGCAGCCAGGCTCAAGAAATATCGCAAATTCTTGTTTTTTTTTGTGGAGGGAGAAGGCGCGAGGAGGGATCTCGCGGGGTAGCCAGAAAAATAACATCTGCTCCCCAAAAAATTATAGACCGGAATTGTCGCTGTCGCGATTTGCCTTAAAATACCTTAAGCAAATGCTAAATCGCGTTTGTCTATCTTAACCTTTAGATTCTGATGAAATTAATTTAATAAACTAACAATTCAATTTGCTGAGCTTATCGACAAAACATAATGATGTCAGCTATTAACAATTATGTATAACGGATACTCTAATAATAATTGCAAATTTTGATTTCGATTGTTGTTAAGTGCCAGAATTTGACGAATAGCGATTATCTTATCTTAACTAATACAATTATTTATCTCTATCGACTATGGACTCTTAGGGTAAATTAAGGTCAAAGAAGTTACGTGCCATTAGAAGTCAGCCCAAATTTTGTAGACAATCTTCGTTTTCTCTAGACACTTGCCGCGTTTATCAAGAATTATTTTTACTGGACACGTCACATATATATATATATTGTCGGGCGATCCATTTCGAATGCGGCCCGATTCGACCTTAATTCGACCCTTAATAATTTTACTTGCCTTTGCTGTTGTCGGTTTTCAGTAGTTCCGTGAGCCAAGGTTCTTAAATGTTGAGATATCTGCTTAAACTGAAATTTTAGCTTTCCATGCAGTAAATTCTATCAGAATCAAACGACATTATGCATATCTCCCAAAGAGAGGCGAGGCGCCTTGTAAAAAGGCATAGAAAGATTACGCAGATTTCATTCAATCGATTTCTCAGATCGGTTTATATAAACGCCCTGTTCTTGTAAATTGTTAATGTTGGAGTAAGTTGTTTTGTAAATAATCAGAGTAATAAAATAATAGCAGTAATATTGCCATAAAGCAAATTAAATGTAAATGTTATAGAGGAGAAAATAGACCAACATTGAGTTTCTTATATAGATATATAGATACATAGATATATAGATATAGATAGATACATGTGTAGATATAGATTGATATATAGAGATAAAGATATAGATAGATATATAGATACATACATATATAGATACATAGATATATAGATATAGATAGATACATAGATACATATATTTGTATAGATATATAGATATTGTATCGCAAAGTCTCAGATAATCTTTCTTTCTATATGATAAAAGGCGAATGTTATCAAATGTGTTTGAGTTCCATATGGAATATACGTGGAATTCAATCAAGTTCTAATTTGTAGAGAGAGAAATTGAAATAAAGCAAACATAATGTAAATATCTTATTGGAGAAAATGGAAACTTATATCGCAAAACTGATATATCTGTGCGATGTTCCTTAGTCTTAGATAATCGTTCTTTCTATTTGATTACAAGCGGATGTTGTCAAATTTGTGTGTGAATATATATGAGATTCAATCAAGAGCCTGAGAGTTTTACAGTTCCGGTTTGTATATGATCAACTTAACTGTCTGATATTTATAATTGTCGTCGTTCTTCTTATTTTTCTTCTTTTTTTTGTGTTGTTGTTGTTGCTGATGTGCTAATTTGCCGCATTTATCTTGCAATTCGGGCAACCCAACTGCACTGGCGGGCACGTCTATATATTTACATATATGAACTGACTTTTGCTTCATTTGGGGTACGTTTAATTGCAATAGTTGTCTGTCGTCTGGGAGAGCTCATAAATCTCACGCGCCTCCGATTGCAGTTGCAGGCCCGGCCGGCATTTGTTCGGCGAGTGTCCCGTGTCTAGGATGGCCGCAATTAGGCGAGAAGGTGAGGAGCTGCGGCTGGACTCTGTGTGTCTCTCTCTCTGTCTCTGGGGACAGACCCACCAGCTGGCCCGTTTCGAGTGACCAATGTCCAGCTCATAATTCAGAAAACAGAAAATATAATTAAGGCAAGGGTTGCGCGCGTTTGTTGATAGATGGAATAGTGACAACAGCTCGAGAATATGATATATTTATGAGAACCTTTTTGAGTTGATTTCGTGGCATAAATCAAAGCAGCGCCTCGCATGTTGCATGTGGCATGTGGGTCAGTTGCCCGATCTGTGGCCCCTTCGCCCGGGCATTGCATGCGGCACGCCA